TGGAGTGTTGTGAGTTTCATGTTCTCTCTGTGTGCGACGGTTCTTCTCTCTAATCAGAACCACTCGTTCTAAATCCCCCAACGACTGCCTCCCTCAGCAGCGATTCATAAAGACTCATCAGCTGTTCCACAAGTCAGATGTGTGAGTTTTCTCCCTCTTTAACCACTAAATCAGCCTCCTGCCCCATGAATTCCACTCATGCTGAGCTTCTTGGGAAGCAATTATTTGTTTACGGTGGCTGCTCGGCTGTACTGGTTTGGCTGGTTGTTTACGACGAGCGCGGCATAGTTTCCGAGTTATAAAACGGGGATGGCGAAAGTGCCTTCTGCCTTTCATCGGAATCTAAATGAGAGAATGTGAGTTTGTGAAGAGGGAGACGGTGTAACGGCCGCGTCGTCACTTCCTGCCACGATTCTGACACGATTCATTTATCTGGAAATGGAGACTAACGAGGACACACTGGTGATTATTTGCAAGATCTTCTGCTTTCTGTCTTGGTTCAGTATAAATATTAAAGTTTTAATTTGGATGAGCGTCTCACGTTAAAGGAGGTGTTTTAATGAATTCAGCAGGTGGAGACTTTGTGCCGAGCAAAGTCAAAATCTGATATTCTTGATGAATGACTTCAAGAAACCCTGAGCTTTGTTTCTGCCTCTTTGTTTCTGGCTCATTCAGTTTGTAGAACAACAGACAAAGTTGTTTGTTTGCAATATAAATGAACCCTCTGAACTTTTTCTTTGCTCCTGTCACATTTTTATTTACTTTGGGCCCATTTTCCACCTCAACATAAAGTCCTGCACCTCTATGGATGCAACATAGCCATGAAGTAGATGTAGAGAGACCTTAAAAATGACCTCCTGCAGTACAACAAACGTGATGACACAAATTATGAAGAAAGAAAAAAGGCGAATGGTACATTTCATTGATTATTTATTTAACAAATATGAAAAAGCCTGGAATTATTACCCAGATGATCTTACCAACACTGGAGAAAAAATGGTTAATCTACATATTTTGGATAATTTAATTTGTGGTTTTGTGCTTTTTTTTCTGCCTTTACTTAACTCCTGTCTGTCTTATATAAACACAGTCGGCACAGTTAAGCCGCAAAGATTTTTTTTTTAACTTGGATGTTGTTTGTTGCAGAATCTGGTTTGAGCAAAGTGATGATTATTGACGGATTTTTAAATGAGACATGTAGAAATTGGTTCATTTTCTCCACAAAACAGAAAGTCATATATGTTCAACACCTTTTGTAATGTTAAAAATTAGACAATTCATTCTGTTTTACAGTTTTTTGCCCTGTAAATGTGTTCTTTTTGTCATTTTTTTAAAAAATAACACAACTCTCAAACCCAATCACAGGTTTTTTTAGGGTTCAGAGTGTTAATTCCTGTAACTTTCCACTTCATTGAAATACAATCTGCAGAGGACACATGTTGTTCACTCAGTGTGAAGAACGCAGGAGGAAGTGAGGAGTTTAACCGTGGCTGTGTCCCGGCATGTCAGTGAGTCCGTCGGTAGTGTATACGGAGGTGCCTCTCGTTGCCTCCACCCCTATTTACCTTTATAGACATGTACACAGGCGTCGCCCAGGCACAACGTACACGCCATGTGGTGTCAACAGAAAGTGCCCCCAGACGCACATGATGGACGACAGAATAACCCTGCCCTCTTCTCTTTCTTCTTCTGCTTTAAGATGGACAGTAAATATCCAGAGTGTCTCCTGCCTGGAGGAGAACTTTCCTTCTTTAATTCACATGTACATGAAGCGTTGATCAAACAAAGCTCTCTATGTAATGAAGCATTTCCACCACCTCAAGACACAACGGTTTTGTGATTTCACTATAGCTAGGTTTTCAACCAGACGTCACCAGTATGTTATTGTTTCGTGACTTTGCCAGTCCTTCTCCTGCCTGCTATCGCTCATTCTGTTTTTATTCTGTCTCCCATCTCAGGAGTTTTACGATCATGCGAAGACACTGTGGCAGGACGAGGGGGTCCGAGCGTGCTACGAGAGATCCAACGAGTACCAGCTAATCGACTGTGCACAATAGTGAGTAACCTGCTGCATGGTGACACTTTTACACTGAGGAGCATCATTTCTTATCAGGGCCGCCTCTATCGCTGTAATACAACATTCTTGCAGATTTATAACTTCATGTATAACTTGTGTTTAGTTTTTATTGACAACGTGGTCGTGATTATGCTGGAAGAACATAGTTGTTGGTGGCGCAATATAGGATTTAGGGGTGCAACTAATTATCATTTTCATTCATGATTATCTTTAAAAAAAAAAAAAGTCTCTTCACAGTAATTCTTGTCATAATTATGAGGCTAGAAAGTTCTCAGACTAAACCAGTAAACTAAAGCTAAATGTTTGTGGTTTTTAATGGGTCTAGACAACAGTCAGTCAGACAGACTTGAAATCTACAGTCAACGTCTTGAGACATACCTTTTTATCTGAGGGTCCTCCTAAGAGGATTTTGGACTTTGCAGATTTAGTAGTTTTCAACAAAAATCTATCACATTATGTGTGTGGGTTTTTTCTTATGAAGAACTTGAGTAAGACAGTTTTCTTTTTCCTTTGAACCCCTAAACCTGCTGGCAGATTTAAAAGGCATGTTGTATCTGCAGTACCACCAAATTTAGACCATTAGTTAGAAACAGAAACTAAAAAATGTGAGAGAGTCAATGGATTTTCTGATGTTCTTTGAACTACTCATCTGAGATGCACCGTTTGATCAGGAAACCAAATCTCAGCTTACAATTGTGGTATTTCATCAAAATTACTTTATTCTACATGCCTCATTTTAAAATGTGCCAAAAATTAACCATTTTATCGAACCAGATTATGTACAAAACTAAAACTTGTGAGTCCTTCAGTTCAGCCATGAAGTCATTAACAACTGTCTTAAACATTCATGTGTCAAACATTCAGGGTGTTTTCAGCTGAACTGCAGGCTGTGTTTACACAGAGCAGAGAGGAGACAAGTATGGACACAGATTAAAAATGGAACTAGTGAAATATTTAAAGTATGTAGAGACGTATTTTTGTCAGTATTGATAACACCTGTATGCACCTGGAATAATGCTGTGCGTGTTGATTCTAGTTTTTTGTTTGTTTTGCAAAACGAATTGTCAGATGAGTTCAACTTTTTCTTTCTTATAATTTATGGCACTGTCACTTTATTAAATGGCACCAAATATATGTTTGGGTTCTCTCTTTGTCTGGTCATAGTTGTGCTGTTTCATTTACGGTGCAGGACTTTATATTGCAGTTTTAAAAAAAAAAAACTGCTTAGAGTATCGAGGGTTAATGTTCAATCATTGCATTTATTGTATTTTGTCTTGATTTACATGACTACAAGTGAACCAGAATAAGCAAAGTCAGGTGCTTGGATTGTCCTAGTGGCTCTGTTTTTATGGTATCAAAATACTTTCATGCAGAGCTGCTACCCTTGTTCAGTTTGTTGAGACTTCATCACTTTCCAGCAGCAAACACTACCAGGAATCAGCTGTATGCAGCGGTTATTGGCAGGATAAAAACTGTTTTAATTGACAGTGATGTAGGCTGTCCAATATGTCATATTTGGTTGTAAATGGCCTCTTTAAATCATTCAGTCATTACTCATAGCGTGAAATCAAAGGAAGTCACACTCATCCCGAGTCCGGACCCTGTAATGTTGTTTCGATTTGTCCGGCTCCATGTCAGTTAGGAACACACAGGCTGCGTTTTTCATTCATAAGGATCATCTGGCTGTCACATGGCAACAGTGTTTTGTTGTCTGTAAATCTGGAATATTGTGCATTTTTATTTCCTGCGTATGGTTATATATATATATATATATATCGATGCATATAAAGAGACTCTCTGATTGCAAGTCAACAAAAGTAGACAAACTTCAGCTTGGTGCAGACTTAATGAGGAAAAATGTGAATCGAACAGGTGATTATCAAACTAAACTCCACTGAGAGTTTGACCTGCAGCAGAGAAATCTTCTGTCCCACTCCAGTTACAATGGGGATGGTTTTTCCTAACATGTAGAAACTCAGTGTTCCTTATTTTCCCAACATCTTTCTCTTATTAAGTATTGGAAAGACAGTGGGATCACCCGTTAAGCTAAATCAGGCGTCCATGATTGTAGTTCCTAGATAGCAGTTTTAAATGAGCTGATGTGATGCAGCTCCTCTCCTTATTTTCCCTGAAGCTTAATACAGCCAATGTTATATTTCATAAAACTAAGAATTTATCATGACACCTCTGGGATAAAATGCTGCTGACAACCTGAGACTACATTTTAATGTTAGTCATTGCTGTTGTTATTGTATTTTAGTGCCATTGTTCTCTCTTGACTCGTGTCTGATGCCTTCTTGAGGCCTGCGTCTCACTGTTAACCGTCTTTAATGTGGTTCGTTTCATACATGTTGCTGACAAACATGAGAATTACAAATTATATCTAACAATTACCGTTCAGTCTGAGGGGGGTTTTACAAAGAAATTTCTTGGCAATAAACTGCTCATGTGAAGTCATGAAGGTGCTGAAAGATTTGGCTCTTTAGTAGCATCTACTGGCAGCTGCAGGACACAGCGACACGTTTGTGCTCACTAAATAACTGACTTCATAAATATGGTTTGACTCTCACTGTGTTACTAGCAAATGTTATGTTAGACTGGGAAAGATAGTGAAGCGTGACTGGAGTAAAGGTTCAGGTTTTTACCTTCAGGTATAAACCGAAACACAGACATTAACCAGTTTCTGGGTGTCAGAGTTGTGCTCACATCTTTCTGTCCTCTCCTTTCATCTACTACTCATTCTGTGTAAACTCATTCGGCAGTTCAGCCCAGTTCAGCTGATAGATCCCAGATTTGTTGGTCACAGATTCGTCACTATTGACCTCATAGTTTCATGGAGGGGTGCAAAATATTTTGTGTTTGTCAAAGAACCTGGTCAATGTGAACAGTTCATTTTTGGCAATGAAAAAAATACAATTTCAAGCTTAGATTTAGTTAATTTGTGCAACAGAATAGCATGTCACAGATGAGTAGTTCAAGGACGGCCGTAAAGTTGAAAATCCGACATTTTTTTTGCTGTTCCTGACTCTGGTGTTTGTTGTAATTTTGGTGATTTTTAGTTTTTTTCTTCTTCTTTTTATAGATAAACATGCTTTTAAATGTTGCAGGCAGGTTTTGGTTAGCTGCAAGGTGGTTAGCACTGTTGCCTCGCAGCTAGAAGGTCGCCGGTTCGCGTCCCGGTGAGGACACTCGGGATCTTTCTGAGTGGAGTTTGCATGTTCTCCCCTAGTGCAGCATGGGTTCTCTCCGGGTTCTCCGGCTTGGCCAAATACAAATCTATCACTCCGTATCAGTGGCCAGTGCATGTAACTGTCTATCAGTACTGATGCTATTAATTTAAAACAAGTTGAGGCAAGACAGCATCACCAGTAGTGATCCTAAACAACTCATGATATGTAGATATTTTTTAAACACCACACTCGAGAATCTTTAATTAGATTTAAACAGGTCAGAGTAGATTGCAGAGTTGTGTTCAGTAAAGCAAAAATAAAAATAAAAAAGCCAAAGCAGAGAAGATGCATAGTGAAGGAGTGGTGTAAGAGCAGCAGTTTGCAGTGTTTGGGAGCAAACATGGCCGAGGCTGAGTCATCTACAGATCAGAGGAAGTTCAGATGAGGAGGGGTGATGTTTGTGGAGGACATCCTCGCTGCTTGTCTCTGGACCACCGATCTGCAGCCTCGACTGCTTTTTACCATCAAATCGCTGTTGGTGAATATCACCTGCGTTTCATTTCGGCCTTCAGATCATTTAAAAGTTTACACGAGTGCAAAAACCTCCCCCTGTTTCTCCCTCAGGTGGTTGAGATGGTTCAGTCCAGCCGTGTGTTTCCTCCCTCTGCTCGCTCACACTTCCAGCACACACACACACAAAAAAAAAAAAACCTCTCAAACTCATCCTTCTCCTGCTCTCTTTCTCTCCTCCTCTGCGTTCCTCTTTCCTCCATCTCCATCCGTCTGTCTGTCTCCTTCCTGGAGCTTCTCCAGCTGCACGAGATTGGGAGCTGATAGACTATTAATAGTGCCCGTGGTTGGGTCTCCATGGTAACCGTGCTGCAGGCCAGGGCGCTGGGGAGCTATTTTTGAAATCTGCTCTGTAATGTCAGACAGACGCCACTACGCTTTCATTCTCCGTCTCTCACTCTGCGTCCTCCTCTCTCCTCCCGTCTTCCCCACCTCCCTCTCACATGAGTTCATCTCTTCCTTTTTCTTCTGTGTCGCCACGTTCACTTGGTCAGTTTTTGTTTCTCTTTTGGGTTCGTCTGATGGGCCGATGAGCCTGCAGAGGGTCTCCCTTACCTGAGACAAGCCGTCCACCGTCCCCTATCATGCTAAGAGTGCTTCAATCTTTCAATTTAAGTTTTTACTTCACCTTTAACCCTCTGAACCTCAGACAGTTTCTGGGTGTTTTGTATTTACTCCTGACACATTTTTACTCACTGTCGGCTCATTTATCACTGCAATATAAAGTCCTGCACCTCTATGGAAACAGCACAAGCATGGCTAGAAGTAGAGAGAACTCAGAAATGTATTATATGCCATGTGACACAGTTACAATGCCCTAAATCATAAAAAAGGAAGACAAAAAGTAGAATTTCTTTGATTGCTAGAAATTTAATCGGCATGGCCAACGTCTTTCCAAACAGGTGTTACCAATATTTGGGGGAAAAACAATGACTCTACATACAATGTATAGTTTACAACTTACTGCATTTTTAATTTGTTTCCATACTATACACAACCTGCAGGTTAAAAAGTTCCTGAATTTCTGTCACGTGACTCAACTGGTTGCTTTAATTGCTTCCTGGTTGTGCAGATCAGTGCACAATTTTTAGTTTTTTACTGTATGTGATGAAAGCAAACAGTTTATTTTGTGGTATTTTTCTTAAACGAGACAAATAAGACAAGAATAAAAGTTATTTTGATGAAATTTCACAATTCACAAACGTTTGGTTTCCTGATCAAACAGTACATGACAGATGAGTAGTTCAAGGACCATCCGAAAGTTCAACATCTAAAAACATGTTTTTTCTTGCTTTGACAAATGATGTAAATTTAACACTTTAAAGGCAACGTGCCTTTCAAACCTGCCCACGGGTTCAGACTGTTGTTAATGCAAGTTATGATGGCACCAAAATGCACTAAATATTTTGCTCTTTATCGATCGCCAGGACAAGTAACTGTCTGTCAGTGTTTGTGTTTCTACTTTTGGGAGTAAAACCAGAAGTACATTTTAAAAAATGTTTTGTTTTTTTTTTGGTTTTGTTAACTTTTTCTCTTCAGTCTGAAAAGGTTGAAATTAATATGTAATCCTTTCCAAGAGGGTTTCTTCTCTGTACTACCTGCACGTCAGCTTCATCAGCAGACAGTACAGAAATCAAACCAATGCAAACTCTTAAGAAAACTCTGGGAGACTGTAGGGCTCGTATGAGGACAAACAACTGCTCTGTTTTATATCATACAGCTGAGGTGTTGCTTCATTTAATCTTCTAGTCAACCTAAATGTTGCAACAGGTTGTTCAGGAGTCTGTGCTCCCTGCAGAAGAAGAAGAAGAAGAAGTGCTCTGTCATGTTTGAAGTTTTCTTTTCATTTTTTGTCACTAATTGTGCTGCCCGAGCACTCTGTTCTGTGATCAGTGTTATTATTCCAATAACTGTTTCTGACCATTTCTTCTGTCTCTCTTTAGCTTTCTAGACAAGATCGACATTGTGAAACAGAGTGACTACACTCCAACAGATCAGGTGGGTGAATCTCTTCCAGCACAAACGTATTTATTACCTACAGTTCAATACGTACAGTAGCTATTTAGTGGGATTTCAGAGCAAAGAGTCGCTGTATTATGGTCCATACCCAAAGCATTAAAAAGCAGTCTGCTACTATTTGCCATCTATTGTGCTCTTGTACATCCATGTTGGATACTAAAAAGGAGCTGTGTTGTTATAAGCTGTTACTTTGACTTTTAATTTAAAGCTGTGGTAGGCAGAAATCACCAAAAGGTGGAAAAAAGCAGTTTTCTCCATCTCCATACTGAACCTCTCCCCCTAGATGAGCTTGGGTGTACGTATGTGTTTTATACATGCAAACTGGGATTTAAGGCTCTGGTAAGCTGCATAAATGGGGCAGCTGTGGCTCAGGTGGTGGAGCGAGTCAGGCAATGATCAGAAAGTCGGCGGTTCGATTCCGTCCCATGTGTCGTGGTTGTTGTGTCCTTAGGAAAAACACTTCACCCACCTCACCTGGTGTGAATGAATGAATTGTCCAATTGTAGCTGCCTCCACCGGGATGAATGTGTGTGAATGAATAATTGACAGTGTAAAGCATCTTAGAGTGTTTAGAAAAGCGCTATATTAATCTGATCTATTATTGTAAATATGAAACTGACTTTGTGCTGAAACACTTCATCAGTTTTTACATGTATCTTCTTGTGTTTACTGTCAGACGTTTTTCTTTTTTTTGATCAGTCACTGTTAGTTTTTGTGGGTTGCTTTGCAGTGTTAGCAATTGTTGCCAAGGCTGGATTAGCAACTTTTCCTGCAGGATTTTCTGCCATTGAATCTGGCTTTCCCCCATCTGAGGCATGCATATATATAGAACAGCCAATACAAACAGCTCACCCTGAAAAGACTTGTGAATGCTAAGTGTCCGGTCACAGGCTAGGTTTTCTTCAGCCTAAAAAAAGGCAAGAGGAGGTGCAGCAGAAAGCGAGTTTTCCTTTGCGTATGGCACTAACAGTACAAAGATTCTGCCTACCTCAGCTTCAACATCCAAATCATCACAGATTCATTCTTTTGCAGTCATTTTCAAAAACCTGAAAGTGAAGGCTGAATGTAAGAGCGTCTTAGTCCCAGTTAGTTCAAAATTACAAAATCCAGAGCACAGACTTTTTCCTGTAGAGTATCTTGTAGATCCCGTTTGCGTTTTTGTTAAATGTTCTGTCATTTCCACCAGGATTTGCTGCGGTGCAGAGTACTGACATCAGGGATCTTTGAGACCAGATTCCAAGTGGACAAAGTTAATTTCCAGTAAGTAGAAGCATAAAGACAAAGGTAGTACATCAGACTTAGAACATTGATTTATAGTTTCAGTGTAAAACATCTGCTGTGGATCAAGATACAAACAAATCAACTTAAAGACTCTGAGGTTTACACTTTCTCCACACGATGGCAGTGTTTTACACGTTTACACTGACGCCTCCGCTTTGATCCACAGTATGTTCGATGTCGGCGGTCAAAGAGACGAACGCCGGAAATGGATTCAGTGCTTTAACGGTAACGTGTGTTCATATCTCCTCCCGCTCGGCTGATCTCGTGTCCTCTCCTTGAGTCTGATCTGTCTGTGCTGCTCCTCAGATGTAACGGCCATCATCTTCGTGGTGGCCAGTAGCAGTTACAACATGGTGATCCGAGAGGACAATCAGACCAACCGTTTACAGGAGGCCCTCAACCTCTTCAAGAACATCTGGAACAACAGGTGAAGAGACCCGTCCGTCACAAGATTAGGAAGACGCTGCTTCTCAAACTGTGTCTTACATGGATTCCCAACATACAAGAGCCTTCTGAGAATAGAGATAGATAACAGTTATTGATTAAACCTGTTGTTCAGGCTTGGAAACTTATTTTATGAGCCGAACAACATCTTCTTTTGAATCACAAATGTAGGGGTTCCCGAGCAGCAAAATAAACCAAGGCTACATCACGTTTGGTATTTATGAGTCCAGATTGCAGAACATTTTTTCCGTCTTTTGTGAAATGTTTTGGGTTTTTTTTTTCCAGGAATATGGATTAGATTTTTGAAAAAAGGCGCTCTGTCGTCAGGTGAAATAACATTATTAGTTTATTCTTTAAACATATAAGAAGAGAAATAGAGAAATCAACTCGGAGTGCCTTTGGTTTTTCATCCATGGTTGTCTGCACCATTTAACATTAAGCTTCCTGTATTTTGTTTGTCTTCTGTCTTTCCTACTTCTACATAAATATTATCTGCTTTTTCTGATTTTTGCTGCAGTCAAAACTCCATGTAAACACACCTTTAGCAGATTATTTTTCTCTAGAATTTCTTTTTTAGCATTGAACGCTGTTTAGTTCTACTTTGGTGAACTCCAAGCAACGTTTCCTCCTTGTTCCTTCCTTCCAACTCAGACCCAGTTTGATCCATTTAGTCGGTGACGCTAACTTCAAGTGTTTTGCTCTCTTCAGGTGGCTGCGGACCATTTCTGTCATCTTGTTCCTTAATAAACAGGACCTGCTAGCAGAGAAGGTGCTGGCGGGGAAGTCCAAAATCGAGGAGTACTTTCCTGAATTTGCTCGCTACACGACACCTGACGATGGTGAGGAGTCTGGTTTGATTCACTTACAGACACTTGGAGCTCCTGTGACTGTTTTTTATTATTTGAGAACATGTTAAATTTAATTTCCAGAATGTTTTACATTAATTGTGAGGTTTTGTTTCCAAATATGTCACAGTTTTCTTGTTATAATACCCTATAAAAGTTTCCTGAGCATCATAATACGTCAAGAAAAGACGAGGTTTCTTTTAGTGTGACGTTATTTTTCGATGAAGATCTTAATAAATGTGCAAATACAAGCACTCATAACTGGCCAACCATCCAAAAAACTACATAAGCGAGGGACCCATGCATTTGGTGACAACGACCACAAGAGATCATCTTTATCACAGGTTTCCTCAACAGTTTGGAAAAATCTGGAATTTAATTTTAGCCATTTCCAGGCCTGGATATGTATGAAAACAAAGACGAGAATGAAAAATGGTTTGTTTTCCCACCTTATTGCCTCTATTGTGCTCAGTCACAGCCTTCAGAACAGCCAGGGTTTTAGGACTGCACCACGTCCAGACATCTACCAGCAAAATAGTTTGAAAGAAAAAGCTGCAGTATCTTTGAATTGCTCTGAACATTTATAAATGATGTGCTCAATAGAAAACTACATATTTTTCTACACCTGGAAGCCTTACCTTTATGGCTCCATTCATCCTTTTACTGGGAAAATCAACATTTTTAACTTTTTAAGGACATTTTTGGTTTTATTCATAAAAGAGGGCAAAGAAATATGGAGGTACAGTAATACCATTTGTTTTATTTGATATGTTAGGGGATAATTTAAGGGTGTTTCGGCAGCAGAGGTCCTGTTTGAGATCTTGTATGACCTAAAGCACCTACAGCTACAATATTCAGGATAATTATTTGTCAATCTAATAGCACACATATTCAAGATGTACATTTTAAAACCATTTATTTTTGTTGTAAACGTCTCACCACTTGTACTCAGATCCTAAACATATGAGAAATCTCCTGAGAAGCCTGGAAATTTGAAAAACTGTGATATTTAAACAGAAATAATGTGGAGGAACCCTGTTGATACACAGCTGTAGGTTGTTGTGAGGCTTTTACTTTACACAACTTGTGTAATTCCTCACATCACAACTTCAACCTGCTTACTGGCTGTTGTGTGATACACTCATGATTGAATATTCCCCATCTGGTAGTTAAATCTTATAAGAAGTTTGGTCTCATTAGCTTTTCTGTCTCTCCTCCGTCAGCGACACCGGAGCCTGGGGAAGATCCTCGTGTTACAAGGGCGAAGTATTTCATAAGAGATGAATTCCTGGTAAGTGTATAAGTATGGCATTTTAAAGGTTTTGTCGTCATTTATCGAACCTGAGGGGAACAGGCCCTCTCTGTCGCCGCCCCAAACATCTGGAACTCTGTCCCACAACGCATCCCAGACACCACAGAGCTGGTCATTTTCGAATCCAAACTAAAAACTCACCTGTTTCGCTCTGCTTTTCATACATAAGCTTTTATATACGGGTTTTTTTTTTGTATTTTATTTTATCTTGTGTTGTTTTTCCCCTGCTGGTCTGTATTTTTTCTTAGTCTACTTTTGTATTAGTTGCTTTTATTGTTCTTTTATCCTGTAAAGTGTCTTTGAGTTTCTGAAAAGTGCTGTAGAAATACAATGTATTATTATTATTATTTACAAATGTTGACTTAGTTTGTGAGCTAGACTTTGCATGGGTTAGTTTTTTTCTGTGCGTTCTTCCTCCTGTCACATTTTCACTCGCTGTGGACTCATTTTTCACTGCACCTC